CCCCCGGCCACGCCCCCTCCTGCACCGCGCCCCCTCCCCTCTCCCAGCCCCCTGCCGCCCTCCCGCTCACCGTGGCCAGGCGGGGGCAGCCCCAGGGCCAGGACCAGCAGGAGGGCCAGGCCCGGATCCATGTGCTCCCGGGTCTGGAGGCCGCGGAGCCCCTTAAGTAGGGCGCCTGCTCCTTCCGCAGGCAGCCCCCTTCCCCGCCCCTCTCCAGCTGCTCCCGGGGCTTTCCCGAGGGGCTTTCCGGTCGACCCCCAGCCCTGGGGGCGGCAGGGAGCTTGGGGTGTGGGCAAAGACGGTGGGCCCGGGCCCAGGCCCAGTGGGGTCGGCAGGGAGGTCTGGGCCTTTCCAGGCCTGGCAGGGGCGGAAGAGGGGGGGACGCGGGGTCGAGGTCAAGTGAAGGAAACCGACCGAGGCCCAGCGCCGCCCCCTCGGGTCCGGCCTCCACCTCTGGAGGGCGGCAGGGGCAGCGGAAGCGGCCGTGTCCAGCTTCAGCTGCGAGCCGGGACTCCTGGGCGTCAGGGTCCCCTGCTGCCATGGTCTCTGGGGTGGGGGCTCCGGGGGTCAGGGTGCCCTGGGGACAAGGGTCTCTGGGGCTCGGGGTGTCTGGGGACACAGTCTGTGGGGTGGGGTCATCTGGGGTGGAGACTCCCCAGCAGAGGTCCCCTGGGGGTGAGGAGCTTATAGGGCTGGTGGTGTCCGGGAAGGGATCTCCTGGCCTCTCGGAGCTGTGAGGCCCCAGGACCTGTGGCAGGTCGCCCCCGTCTCCATGCCGCCCCCCTCTCCCAGGGACCGGGCAGCCCACCTTCAGGCCAGACTGGAGCCTGGGGCCCTGGGCGCCTGCTCTCCACAGAGACCTGAATCTGTGAGCAGAGGAGGGTCTGGAAGGGACGCTGGCCAGGCCCCTACGCACCTGCCATCAGGGGACCCTGGGAACCTCGTCTGCCAGATGCGCCCAAACCCGCCCACCCCGCACAGTCCCTGTTTCCCTGCCAGGTGGCCTGCCGGCTCACCCCCCCGTGCCATGGGAGACACCCCTCCGAGCATGCCAGGCATCCCCAAGGCTGTATGGGGCTGAGTGGGACACCCCAGGATCCGTGTCCCCAGGCCTCAGGACTGTCCCCTCGCCTCGTTCAGTCTCTACTCCCTTCCCACTCCTTCCTCCCACGGTACCGTCTCCAGGCGTGTTCCCTGAAGCCCGCTTGGAGGTCACGTGCCAGCAGTCGTACGGTGTGCTTCTCCCTCTACCTGGGGGGCCCTCATCTGTGTGGTCCCCACGGCGACCCCCCACACAGCAGACACACAGGCAGAAAGGACCGGGAGCAGTCCTGGTTTGGCCCCCACTGACCTCAGGTTGTGTCTCTATGTGCCTCAGTTTCCCTGGCGGGGCAATAAGAAGGGACAACTGGGTGATGTGTTTCCAAGCACTGTCAGCCTGTGTCTTCACAGCCCCTTCTCTGTCAGAGACAGAAACTGAGGATCGAGGGAGGGGCTGGGACGAGAGGAGATAAACTGAGTCACAGGGGCGAGGTTGGGTACAGAAGAGGGAAACCGAGGCCCAGAGGAGGGGCTGGGTGCAGAGGAGGGAAGCGGAGGCCCTGGTGAGGTCTCGGCCCAGCGTGTGAACCTGGCCCACCTCTTCCCTCCCGGTGCCGGGAAAGGCCTCGCAGGAAGGCGGCTCCAAGGTGCGGCCTCCCCAGGCCGGAGGTGCAGGCCTTTCCCGGGAAGCTGGGCCCTTAACCCAGGCCTGGGACAGCGGGCCTGGTGAATGGGCTGCTTCCCCGCCCCTGACCCTGCATCCTGCCCGCCGGGGCAGGTGGGGAGGGGTCCCCGGGCGCCGGGGGCTGGGGCAAGGGAGGGTCCCAGCTCTCCCAGGTCCTGTCCTTCCTCGCCGATCATTCCTCATCGTGCCACACCTCATCCTGTGACCAAGGACCCTCCCCTCCACCGTGTGGCCGGGGACCTTCTGGCTCACAGGCTCTCAGGGGAGGGGAGTGGCCCTGGCGGGGGTGTCGGCAGCTGACTCCGAGGAGTGGACAGGTAGCAGGACACGTGAAGGGTCTGGGCGGAGGGAAGCTGAGAGAGACAGGGACGGAGCTATGGAGAGATAAAGACAGAGAACGACCGAGACAAAGAGAGAGAGAGACAGTGAGAGACACAGAGAGACCGAGACAAAGAGAGATAGAGATAGAGACAGAGAGAGAGAGATGCAGGCAGAGAGACAGCAACCGAGATAAAGAGAGAGAGAGACAGAGAGACAGTGACAGAGAAATAGAGACAGAGACAGAGAGAGACACAGAGAGACAGAGACAGAGAGAGACAGCAAGAGAGTCACAGAGCGATAGAGACAGACAGAGACAAAGAAAAATAGAGCCAGAGACAGAGAGAGAGATGCAGGTGGAGAGACAGCAACAGATAAAGAGAGAGAGAGAGACAGAGAGACAGTGACAGAGAAAGAGAAATAGAGACAGAGACAGAGAGAGACAGTAAGAGAGTCACAGAGCGATAGAGACAGAGACAAAGAAAAATAGAGACAAAGACAGAGAGAGAGATGCAGGCGGAGAGACAGCAACAGAGATAAAGAGAGAGAGATCGAGACAGAGAGACAGAGTCAGAGAGATATAGAGACAGATAGACAATGGCAAAAAGAGAGACAGAAAGAGAGACAGAGAAAACAGGCGGAAAGATGGAGAGGGAGAGGGAGACAGAGAGACGGGGTGGGGGAGGCCTGAGGATCCCGCGTGGGCAGGCGAGAGCTGAGCCCCCGGCGTCTGCGCCCTCGACCCCCAGCAAGGCCCCATCAGCAGGGGCTGCCCCATCTCCCGCCTGCACTGGAATGTTGCCCTTGTCCTTGGGAGACTGAGCCCCCGTCCCGCCGGGAGGAAGCCTTGGCGCCTCTGCCGGAAGCCTCCCCCCACGAGGGTCCCGGCCGTCAGCCTCCCCCAGACCCCACATCCTGGCCTGCCTGGCCGCCGCGCCACGAGCCTGCAGGGCCGAGAGGGAGGGAGTCCTGAGAGGAATGGGCCTGGCCTGGCTGGCTGCTCCCTTGCGCTCACCCACTGGCGAGTCCTGGGGCCCTCGGGGCTCGTGCTTTGGGGGGGTCTGGGGCCCCGGGAGGGCGGGGTCTGGCTGTCGGGGCCTGTCGGGGCGGCCTGAGGACCCCAGCCCTGCAGGTCTCCGGGGGCGAGGAAGGCTGCCAGGGAAAGTTGTTGAACGGCCATGCAGGGGTGTGTGTGTGCCACCTTGCCCGTGTCCTTGTAGTCTGCTGTGGCCCTTCCTGTCACTGCTGGTCTCTGAAGTCACAGCTGAGTGAGGCCGGGGAGGGTGAGGGTAGGGAATGGCGGGTGTGACCCCCCGGGAAAGGGCTGGGACCCCCAATACATCTCACGGGACGCCCTGTGAGAGGGGGCGGGCTTGCCTGACTTTCTTTCCCTGCGAAGCTGAAAGTGGTTTGGCGATGCGGGATCGGGGAGTGGCCGCATGGCCGCCCCAGGGCCCATCAGAGCCGTGGGGTCTTCGGGGCTGCTGGCCAGGCTCCCTCCAAGGAGAGGATGGCGTGGCTGGCTCTGTCCCTCCCTGCCTGAGGCTCTGCCTGGCCTGAATTTAGGCCTCAGAAGTGTTGGGGAGCTGAGGCTTTGGGTGCCGACCCATGATGCTGGTGGACCTACTGAGGCCAGGATGCAAGCCCCGGTGGGTGGGTCTGGCTCTGGCACAGGGTCTGGGCAACTGACCTAGCCCAGGACCCTTTTCTGGGACAGGTCCCTCCCTGCAGGCTGGGACAGGCTTCTCCCTGCAGAAGCCCACCTGAGCTGGTCGGAGAGGTGGGGACTGGGGGGTGGTCCATGGAGCAGGACCTGGGAGCAGACAGGCACGTCGTGGTGAGGCTGGCTCAGGGCTGTAGTAGGCATACGGGCTCGTCCTGCCGGGGACGCCTGACCAGGGCCTGGCCTCCCAGAAGCCCCGCTGCCTCTGCTGGATGCCGGGCCCCGGACCTCCCTGCACACTCTGGCGGCGAGAGGCCCCGGCCCTCGTGGGCACCTGTCCCCTGGCCCTGGCTCTTTGCAACTGGGGGCCCAGTCATGAATTATGCAGCCACTGGGGACCTCATGGAGGCCCTTGTGGAAGGAGGGGATGGAGGAGGGAGCAGCCTGGAGCATGCGGGAGGAAGAGGCCGGGAAGGTGGCCACGGAATGGGTCAGAGGTCTTTGGGTGGACCAGACACGGGCACCTGGCAGGCGGGCGGGCTGTGTGGCCTCTCGTCTGAGTGAAAGGACTGGGAGAGCCACCAGCACGTGGCCACCACCCGCCTGAAAGGCATCTTTTTTTTTTTTTTTT